ATATGATTCAGCAGATTATTTTGTAGGCGAAGTCCACGTCCCTGTCAGCATTGATTCCTGGAGATATGGCTTATTTCTTATTTTTATTCCAGATGATAAACAGATCTTGCCTACATATGTGGCTATGTTGTTATTGTCTTCTTTACCCTTTTGGCAATGAATGAGGTCAATGCTCATTGAGGCTTTTTGTAATACTGTGTTGTAAGAACTGACATCATGGAGCATACTTCCCTACCCTACACGCAGTACGTAACTTAGTTATCTACTTTTAGTTATGTAGTGCTGCTATAACATAAATATCACAAGTGGGAGGCTTTAACAAACAGAAATTTATTTTCTCAGGGTTTAGGAGGCTAGTTCATATTCAGAGCACCAGCTTTAGGGAAAGTCTCTATTCAGTGGGGAAAAGGCCTGTCTCAACTTCTCTAGTGTTTGTCTCTACGGTCCTTGGAGATCTCCATGTGGCATCTATCTTTCCCCTAATTGTGCTTCTGTCTGCCTAATTGGCTCTTTTATATCTTAAAAGTAATTGGCTTAAGATACACCCTACCCTGATATGGCCTCATTAACATAACTGAAAAAACCTTATTCCCAAATGGGTTTACATCCACAATTACAGGAGTTAGGATTTTGGGGTGACAATTCAATCCACAACAGTGACCAAACTCAGGTGTGCTTTCGACTCAAGAGATTAATAAAATTTACGCGCACTACACTTCACAGTTGACAAGCCATATTCCTGTACAAGTATGTTGCCTCTTTTAAACCTTTAAATCTAGTAAATATCACAAAGGTCTTATCTCTATTTTAGAGGTGAAGAATCTGAAGTTCAGAAAGGCCAGGTGATCTGTTTAAAGTCACTCAGCTGGCAAAGTCATAACTGGGGCCTGGATTTCTTTGTGAGCTGCTCTTCCTTTGCCGGCCCCTAAATATTGATGGACCCTGGGCTCTAAACTTGCCTCTACACTACATACTCTCTACACTGTCCCTGGGCAGTCTCGTCCTTTCACAGTTTTAACTATCAGATGTATTATTGTTACTGTTGTTGTTTGATGCTGTCAAGTTGATTTCGACTCATAGCAACCCTACGTACAACAGAGGGAAACACTGCCGGGTCTTGTGCCATCATTGCTATGTTTGAACCCATTGTTGCAGCCACTGGGTCAATTCATCTCATTTAGGGTCTTCCTTTTTTTCACTGACCTTCTACTTTACCAAGCGTGATGTCCTTCTCCAGGGACTGGTCCCTCCTGATAACATGTCCAAAGTATGTGAGACAAAGTCTCACTTCTAAGTCTCATTTCTAGGGAGCATTCTGTCTGTACTCTTTCCAGGACAGATTTGTTCGTTCTTCTGGCAGTCTATGGTATATTCTATATTCTTCATCAACAACATAATTCAAAGGCATCAATTCTTCTTCAGTCTTCCTTATTCATTGTCCAGCTTTCGAATGCATATGAGCTGATTGAAAATACCAATGCTTGGGACCGGAGCACCTTAATCCTCAAAATGACATTTTTGTTTTTTTAACACTTTAAAGAGATCTTTTGCAGCAGATTTGCCCAATGCAATCCATCGTTTGATTTATTGACTACTGCTTCCATGGGTGTTGATTGTGGATCCATGTAAAATGAAATCCTTGATAACTTCAATCTTTTCTCTGCTTATCATGATGTTGCCTATTGGTCCAGTTGTGAAGATTTTTGTTTCCTTTCTGAGGTGTAATCCATACTGAAGGCTGTGGTCTTTGATCTTCATCAGTAAGTGCTTCAAGTCCTCTTCACTTTCAGCAAGCAAGGTTGTGTCACCTGCATATTGTAGGTTGTTAATGAGTCTTCCTCCAATCCTGATGCCAAATTCTTCTTCACATACTCCAGCTTCTCGGATTATTTGCTCAGCATACAGGTTGAATATGGTGAAAGGATACAACCCTGACACACACCTTTCCTGATTTTAAACCATGCACTGTTCCCTTGTTCTGTCCAACAGCTGCTACTTGATCTATGTACAGGTTCCATGTGGGCACAATTAAGTATTCAGGAATTCTCATTCTTCCCAATATTATTTGCTATGATCCACACAGTTGAATGCCTTTGCATAGTCAATAAAACACAAGTAAACATCTTTCTGGTATTCTCTGCTTTCAGCCAAGATCCATCTCACATCAGCAATGATATCCTTCGTTCTACGTCCTCTTCTGAATCCAGCTTAAATTTCTGGCGGTTCCCTGTCAATGTACTGCTACAACATAACAGATGTATGCTGATGATTTTTAAATATCTCCATCCTAGATCTCTCTTTTGAGCTCATATACTCAAATACTTGCTAAATATCTTCACCAGCGTGTCTCATGGATGCCTCAAACTTATTATGTCCCCTGCCAAACTCTGTGTAATCTATTCCTCTCGAGCCTTCTTTTCTTCCTGTATTTTTCTTCCTTCCTTCCATCCTCCCTTCCTTCCTTCCTTTTTTCCTTCATTCCTCTCTCCCCTTTTCCTTCCCCCCCTTTTTTTTTATTTTTGAGAATTCAAATTTTTGAAGCCTGACTATGCTCTTAGTTTCACTTTCAGGTCTTTAATACATGAGAAAACATGTAATTTTCATTTAAGAATATTAGAAAGTAGAAACATCCATTTGCAGAAAAAAATAAAGCAATCAAAATTATAGAGACCATAAACAACTGTAGCTCAAAAACTTAATAAAAAGTAAACCGACCATGAAATTACTAACTTTGGCATTTGAATATAAAATGTTTACCAGTATAAACTATAGAGAAATGGCTAATTTTATATGCAGCATTACAAAATGTCTGCGTGTTTTTTGTAGCCATGTCCTGTGCTCTGACCACTGTAGGAAAAAAATGCTGTCTTTTCAGCAAGATTTTTGTTTTCTCTGATTTGTCATTTCTGTGTTACCCAGGCCCATAGAACTCCTATTGTTGACATTTTGACATTCACTTTTTGTGATGGTTAAGATTGTGTGTCAACTTGACTGGGCCATGATTCTCAGTGTTTTGGCAGTCGTGTGATATTGTGGTCACTTCCCTGTTGGGATTTGATGTGTGATCGCCCCCATGATGGAATCTGCGATGAGAAGCCAATTGGTTGAAAGGGAGTTCTCTTGGATGTGTGGCCTGCATTGAGTGTAGGGGTGTGTTCTGGCAGGGCTTCGGGGGCTTTTGCTCATTCTGGATCCTGTAGCTGGCTCCTGTTCTTCTAACCTCCAGTTCTTGGGACTTGATCTAGCAGCTTGCCTTCGGTCTTGCCTGCCAATCTTGGGATTCGTTGATCTTCGCAGCCTGTGAGCAACAGCCCTGCTCTCTGACCTGCCAATCTTGGGTTTATCAGCTTCTGTGGCTACATGAATCAGGAGGAACCTCTGTTGTGACCCACAGACTTGGGACATTACAGCCTCTACAACAGAGTGAGCCGTTTCCTTGATATAAATCTCTCTCTATATATTTATACTCTTTACTGGTTTTGCTTCTCTAGAGAACCCAGCCTAAGACTTTTTTAGGGTATAAATTTCATTTTGTTTGGAATTCCAAACAGTCCAGCTACTGCTGTCTGCATCAGGAAACAGAACTTGGGTCTAGAGACTAGGGCTCAGGAGTAGGACTCAAACCCTTGGAAAGTTATTGTGACTGGAGCAAGATCACAACCACAGAAGCTGGGAGCATTGGTAGGTCATCAATCAAGGGATAAAGAGCCAGAGAAAGAGGACAAGGACTCTGCCTGTGAGATGTGCATGAAAGTTGTGTTGGGCATTAGTTGGTAGCTTACTGATTTTGTCTTCTTACAAATGTTCCACGATGGTTGTGGACTCTGGAGGTGCAAAGTGTGGAGTCCACTATAGCAGTGGGTAGAGTTTAATTATAAGCAGAGAAAGAGGAATGGGGGTCTTCCACTGTACAGGGACTATGTCATCTTCTGAGTTGAGGTGAAAACAAAACGTAATGGAATTATCAGAGACCCAAGGACTAAGAAGGAAATAATATTAAAAAAAAAAAAGTCTGTGCTTTGAACACTTTAGTTGTAGGTATCAGGTTTTTTGGAGTTGGAAAACCCTAGTGAAGTGGAAAGAAAAATTTCAAAACTAAGGCCAATCAAAGATTCAAGAGCTAGTGGTGGTTGATATAAGAACAGGTTTTGCGACTTATTTTCTAGGAGTCAAAACAACCAACTGGCATGGATTGAATTGTGTCCTCCAAAAATATGTGTATCAGTTTGGCTAGGCCATGATTCCCAGTATTGTGTGATTGTCCACCATTTTGCTGTCTGATGTGATTTTTTTTTTTTTTTTAATTTCTAAGCGAAACTGTATCCAGCTTTATTAAAGATACTTTTCATAAACAATCATGGTACTTCAGGCAGGACATGGAAAGATGATCGTTAACAGTATACAACTTTCAAACTCTCTTCTTCAGTGGACTACTAAAATCAGAAAGCCACTATAAAACCCAGTGAAGTCTTCATCTGATGCTCTGAACAGGGAAAGTTTAGAGTGAGGGTTGACATTTCACATTTAGCATGTTTAACAAATTTCCTGGAGCTGACCCTGACTTTCAGAAAATGAAATGAAAATGGCAGAATTATCAATCTGAAGATCCACAATCTAAAAAAGGGAACAGCTGCTCTTTTGAGGGATGCTGCTGAGATGGCATCCCTGGAAAGTACAGATTGCCTGACATACTAGTAACCAATTTTCTGGGGTCAGATCCCAACAGGTCTCTGGGTTTATGGGGGTCAAGTCTATGCTGAAGGCAGAGAGGGAAAAGAGGACATGAGGACGTAAAAACAAATTTTACTTTTTCCACACCACAAGGCGTTTGTGTCAAGGTGGCTAACGTGTGTCAACATCAGGGAATCCCTCCTCCTGAGAACCAAGAGAAAGTCTCTCAAAACTAGAATCCAGCTTCGGAGAAATTCTATTAGTGACATTTGCCCCTTCCCCCAAAAACAACAATGAAGTGTTCTGTGTGCTAACAACATAGCTTAAAAAAAAAAGTAAAACAAAATTCTGCATTTTTATAAAACTTGATAAAAAATAGTATCTCAAACTGTACAGTCACCAGAAGTACGCAGTTATCAAAAATGCACACACTTCCCTTGGTATCTCCAGCACCTTCAGCTTTCTGTGCCTGGTCTGTTTTGGCATCTCCATTTTCTGCAGGGTTATTCCCATCCTTGCCAGCATCAGCTTTCCCCTTTTTCCCTTTGGGTACCTTCTCTCCCTTCTTTGCAGGGGCCGTTTTAGGCTTAGGCTCTGGCTTTGGAGGAGCAGGTTTAGCAGATAACCTTGCAGATCTCCTCTGTGGTTTGTCCTTCACCTTGGCTTTAGCTCCCTTAGCATCCCCTTCAGCCTTTCTCTTGGGTATTGTGGCGACAGCAGTGGGACGCAGGCGCTGGAACAAGCCTTGGTCCATCAGGGGGTCGTTCTCACCTCTTCTTCACACTGCTCCTGATGTGATTTTTCTATGTATTGTAAATTCTATCTCTATGATGTTAATGAGGTGAGATTAGCGGCAGTTATGTTAATGGGGCAGGACTCAATCTACAAGATTGGATTGTTTCTTGAGCCAATCTCTTTTGAGATATAAAAGAGAGAAGTGAGCAGAGAGAGACGGGGACCTCAAACCACCAAGGAAGCAGTGTCAGGAGAAAAGTGTGTTCTTTGGACATGGGATCCCTGCACTGAGAAGCTCCTAGTCCAGGGGAAGATTGATGACAAGAACCTTCCTCCAGAGCCAACACAGAGAGAAAGACTTTCCCTGGAGCTGATACCCTGTATTTGGACGTCTAGCCTATGAGACCGTGAGAGAATAAACTTCTATTTGTTGAAGCCATCCACTTGTGGTATTTCTGTTATAGCGGCACTAGATAACCAAGACACCAACCAAACAAAAAGTCCTAGATATGTTCCATTAAGAATCTCTTCATTTTTTTGATATTAGGGAATAACATACAACAAAGAATTTTATGTCTTTTGTTGACACTTGGAAGTGTTCCCTACAGTTTTGTAGGAAATTTTAATCTTTCTTTTACCCAGTATGGCCTCTTCAGGTTTGCTAAGCCAACTAGAGTCAGAAATTACCCAGTTCAAATGCTGTTTATCTCTTCAAAATCCAAAATTCTTACTTGGGTTTTACAAGGGAAATCACAGAAAATAATGGAGAAATGGATTCAGTTTTTCAACTTTATAGTAACAGGTTTTGACCTTGCTATCAACACATGAACTGTAGAAAAAAGAAAATGAAGGAAAATGTTGTGATTCAGCCAGTGACTTAGCTCCACACATGATAGAGGAAGAAATGAAATTGTTTAAGAAGCAGGTTGGATGTAGAACCAACCAACCAACAAACCAACCATCAACTTAGCTTGCATGGAGCATCAAGATAAAGTATTAGAATTGGAGAAAGGACCTGCTGCTGCATGGAAAATTGTGGCAGAATGGAATATTTCAGCCACCACTGGAGTAGATGTTACTCAAGAGCCAGAGAAGGATAACTTCCTTCATAGTCCTCTTTTCTTAGTCTCTACTAAGAAAAGGCAAGATCTGGAGGAGAATTGCATCAGGCTTTAAGATTACCAACACCATTACTCTAGGACAGTCATTTGAGGGGAGTTCTCTACCTGGAGGATACTTCAATGATACCTTCCCCAGGAGAAGGCCTTAAAAATCCAGAGCAGAAAGTAGCTACTGTAGCAGAAATGGCCTAAGAAAACTTTGAAATTCTGTAGGAGATGGAGAAAATTAGATTAACAGGAGACTAAGATTGTGAGAAGTGCAGATAATTACTTGTTATAATGTGGCATGCCCTGCTACCAATATAGAGGCTATGCCCCTATAGAGAGCACCAGGTTGCCAGAATGTAGGTGTCAGAATAGAAATGTTAAAAAAAAAAAAAAAATAAAGTAGAGAGGAAGAGGGAGCAGGCAGGAAACACAAGATATTCCAGCTCAGAACTTCAATGCTTTTTCTCATTAATTCAGGAGCTCTACCAAAAGGTTATGGCCTTGAAAACCCTCTGAAGCAGTTCTATTCTGCACACATGGGGTTGCCATGAGTCAGAATGGACTTGACGGCAACTGACAACAACAACCCTTAGCACTGGGAGCCCGTTCCATATCTGAGCTATTGGACTGAAACTCCTTCAACTAGCACCTACAGGGGATAGTACTGGTCTCACTGTAGCAGGGCCAGTTGCATCAGGAAGACCCATGGTTCTAATTAAAATTCAGACTCTGGATCCCACTGTAAATCTCCTGAGTCTGAATCTCATTGTTTGAATCTATTGTTACAAGCTCCAGACCACACCCATGCTCTGAAAAACCTTTTCAAAATCATTAGAAGACTCAGCTGATGTGACAGAATTTGTACCACTGTAATTGGCAACCTAAGCTGGGTAGCTGGTGATCATACTCTGCTGTAGCCCTCCAAGAAGTGCTTTACTGGAAACAGGTTACAGTTCTGATCTCAAAAGACACAGCATCTGTGGCAGATTGCATTTTTCAAAGATGACTGCAACTATATATCCTGTCCCATATGCTCTTCAAGAACCTTGCCATACCCAATACTGTGAGGAAGCCCAAGCAGCCTGTGGAGAGACCCATGTGGAGAGGAACTGAGGCCCTCTAGTCCACAGCCTTGGCTGAGCCCCCATCTACTAACACCTTGAAAGCAGATCCTTCAGCTCCTAATTGAGCCACTCCAGATCACTTTGCACAGCAGAGATAAGGCGTCCTCACTCAGACCTGCTCACACTGTAGATTCGTGAACAGAAAAAATGATTGTTATTAAAGCCACTAAGCAGACGTAAGTAACTCTTGATATAGCACCTACGGGAGGTGGGATGCATGGATAACCCTTCCAATGCCCTGGAAAGTTGAGGTGAATTCTCCTCTGTGATTCTTTGTTTTAGAAGTTCGTAAATCTTCTCATGTCTATCCCCAGTCCCCATCTGCCTTAGATTACCTACTGATTCTTGGCTTTAGCAACTGACTTCCAGTGTGAAGTAGCATTTAAAGAAGATTTTTTATTTAATTGAGGAAAGTAGCGTGGTATGTGGGGGACCTAGGCATTTGGAATGCACAGGATAAAGCATAATAACAAGACTAGGAGAATGAGGCTAAAATAATAATCTCAGCTAGATCAAAAATTTTAAAAATTCAATTATGGTAGCTTTTTTATGTTCAACCACGTAAAAAGAAAGTATCTTTTAACTATCTAGTAAGCTATATGGAAAACATTATTTTGCATACTAGTAGAATTTCACCTCCTCCCTCTCCCTACTGCCACGTGAAATCTGCTTTCATGAGGCTGGGTATACAAGGCCTTCTGGGCTGCAGTTCCTATGACTAGAGATGGGACTAAACTGTTCTGCAGAGGAAAAGGAAGTGGAGACCCTGTGGCTGGCTTGCTGCAGGAGATGAACTTAGGGGATGACAGATATGTCTAATAGAAATTTTAATTGAATGTTTTTTTGTATGGTTTATGGCATAAATTCTCTCTTTTGTCACTCTAGGTATAATCTACAGTAAACTCCGCATTGCTTAGTAAATCCTTCCTGGAGTGAATTTAGTTTATGGAGATATATGGAAGTGCCAAATCCCACATCAGTTCCCCAAAGGAAGAAGCCATACTCCCCTACCTAGTGTGAGAAAGCCCCTGGAGCAGGTGAGGCAGTACAGGATAACACCTGCCCTCCCAGTGGAAAGAGAATCCAAAATAATAAAAGTTGTTTATATATTATAGTCTTTATTGTCGCCTTGTAGCCTTTTACTTGGCAGCATTTTAAAATTTTTTATTATGGACATTTTCAAACATACATAAAGGTAGAAAAGTAGAATAAAGAACTCCTCGTAGCCACTACCAACTTTGACAACACTTTGCCAATCTTGGGTTCATTTTTTAAAGAAGGGTGTTGTAATTTCCATAAAGCAGTATGTAAAGACACAAGAATTGTTAGGGAAGTCAATTGTTTTAAAGGCAGCCATTCTGGAGAAGGGCACAGGAAACATATTTCTTTCAAAAGAAGCTGGAAAAAAAAATGTTTTGAAGACAATTTGAAGTCATTTGATTAGCTTTTAATTAGTTTCTGGAATATCAAGTGAGAGAGCACTCTAACAGATGCAGTATTTCATTTCAGCCTTTTTACCAAAATGTGAATTTGCCTGTAGGAATTAAAAAAAAAAAAGAATGAATTAGGACTTCATTCATGAATTAGTGTGACCATTTAATCTTTTTCTTTTTTTACATCACCTTTCCAAACATCAAAACTTCCACCCTATCTCTGCGCTATGCCAAATTGCTACATATTTAAAATCTAGTTCAAATATGGCCTATGGTTCAGTACAATTTATTAGGAAGAGTCACAACCATCAGTCAAGATTCAGAAAAGTCTCATGGAGTAGGGCTTCTTTATGCTTCCTTACTTGTAATTTGCATTCATTTATTCATTCACCAATATTTATTAAGTGCCTACTATGTGTCCCACCACTAGCTTGTCAGTTTGTCTTACTATGATGGCTTGTGTGTTGCTGTGATGCTGGAAGTTATGGTACCTATATTTCAAATATCGGCAGTATCACCCATGGTGGACAGGTTTCAGCTGAGTTTCCAGACTAAGACAAACTAAGAAGAAGGACTTGGCGATCTACTTCTAAAAAAATTGGACAGTGGAAACCTTATGAATAGCAGCAGAACTGATATAGTGCCGGTAGATGAGCCCCTCAGGTTGGAAGACACTCAAAATAGGACTGGGGAAGAACTATCTCCTCGAAGTAGAGTTGACCTTAATGACGTGAATGAAGTAAAGCTTTCAGGACTTTCATTTGCTGATGTGGCATGACTCAAAATGAGAAGAAACAGCTGCAAACATCCATTAATAATTAGAACATGGAATGTACAAAGTACGAATCTAGGAAAATTGGAAGTCATCAAAATTGAAATGGAATGCATAAAGATCAATATCCTAGGCATTAGGGAGCTGAGATGGACTGCTACTCATCATTTTTAATCAGACAATCATATGTTTTACTATGCTGGGAATGACAAAGTGAAGAGTACAGTCGCAATCAGTGTCAAAAAGAACATTTCAAGATCTATCCTGAAGAACAACTCTGTCAGTGATAGAATAATATCCATAAGCCTACAAGGAAGACCAGTTAATGTGACTATTATTCGACTTTACGCACCAACCACTAATGCCAAAGATGAAGAAGTGGAAAGTTTTAACCACCTTCTGCAGTCTGAAAATGATCAAACGTGCAATTAAGATGCGTTGCTAAATACTGGTGATTGGAATGCGAAAGTTGGAAACAAGAAGAAGGATCGGCATTTGGAAAATATTGCCTTGGTGACAGAAACGACACAGAAGATCACATGACAGAATTCTGCAAGACCAATGACTTATTTGTTGGAAATACCTTTTTTCAACTTAAACGGTGATGATACACGTGGACCTTGCCAGATGGAATACACAGGAATCAAATCGACTACATCTGTGGAAAGAGACGATGGAGAAGCTCAGTATCATCAGTCAGAACAAGACCAGAGGCTGACTGTGGAAGAGACCATTAATTGTTCATATGCAAGTTCAAGTTGAAGCTGAATAAAATTTAAAAAAGTCCACGAGAGCCAAAGTGTGACCTTGAGTATATCCTACTTGAATTTAGAGACCATCTCAAGAATAGATTTGACACACTGAATACTAATGATAGAAAACCACATGAGTTGTGGAATAACATCAAGGATGTCATACACGAAGAAAGCAAACGGTCATTAAAAAGATAGGAAAGAAAGAAAAGACCAAAATGGGTGTCAGAAGAGACTCTGAAACTTACCCTTGAATGTAGGGTAGCTAAAGCAAAAGGAAGAAATGATGAAGTTAAAGAGCTAAACAGAAGATTTCTAAGGGCACTCAAGAAGACAAAGTAGAGTATTATGATGAAATGTGCAAAGATCTGTAGTTAGAAAACCAAAAGGGAAGAACACAGTCAGTATTTCTCCAGCTGAAAGAACTGAAGAAAAAGTTCAAGCCTCGAGTTGCAATTTTGAAGGATTCTATGGGCAAAATATTGAACGATGCAAGAAGCATCAAAAGAAAATAGAAGGTATATACAGTCACTGTACCAAAAAGAACTGGTTGATGTTCAACCATTTCAGGAGGTAGTATATGATCAATAACTGATGGTAATGAAGGAAGAAGTCCAAGCTGCACTGAAGGGAATGGTGAAAAACAAGGCTCCAAGAATTGATGGAATACCAATTGAGATGTTTCAACAAATGGATGCAGTGCTAGAAGTGCTCACTTGTCTGTGCCAAGAAATTTGGAAGACAGCTACCTGGCCAACTGACTGGAAGAGATTCATATTTGTGACCATTCGAAAGAAAGGTGAGCTAATAGAATGCAGAAATTATTGAACAATATTACTAATATCACACGCAAGTAAAGTTTTGCTGAAGATAATTCAGAAACAATTGCAGCAATACATCCGCAGGGAACTGCCAGAAATTCAAGTCAGATTCAGAAGAGGACATAGAATGAGAGGTATCATTGCTGATGTCAGATGGATCCTGGCTGAAAGCAGAGAATACCAGAAAGATGTTTACCTGTGACTTATTGACTATGCAAAGGCATTTGACTGTGTGGATCATAACAAATTATGGTTAACATCACAAAGAATGGAAATTCCAGAACACTTAATTGTGCTCATGAGGAACCTGTACATAGATCAAGAGACAGTCGTTCAAACAGAAGAAGGGGATACTGCGTGGCTTAAAGTCAGGAAAGGTGTGTGTCAGGGTTGTATCCTTTCACCATACTTATTCAATCTGTATGCTGAGCAAATAATCTGAGAAGCTGGACTATATGAAGAAGGAGGAGGCATCAGGATTGGAGGAAGATTCATTAACAACCTGCGATATGCAGATAACACAACTTTGCCTGCTGAAAGTGAAGAGGACTTGAAGAATTTACTGATGAAGATCAAAGACCACAGCCTTCAGTATGGATTACACCTCAACATAAGGAAAACAAAAATCCTCACAACTGGACCAATAAGCAACATCATGGTAAACAGATAAAAGATTGAAGTTGTCAAGGATTTCATTTTACTTGGATGCAGACTCAATGCCCATGGAAGCAGCAGTCAAGACAAATTGGACAAATCTGCTGTAATAAAACCAAAAGACCAAACCTGTTGCCATCGAGTCGATCCCTATAGAGTAGAATAGCCCCATAGGTTTTCCAAGAAGCAGCCGGCGGATTTGAACAGCCAGCCTTTATGGTTAGCAGCTGAGTTCTTAACCGCTGTGCCACCAGGTCTCCATCTGCTGCAGTAGACCTCTTTAAAGTGTTAAAAAGCAAAGATGCCACTTTGAAGACTAAAGTGTGCAGACCCAAGCCATGGTGTTTTCAATCACTTCATATACATATGAAAGCTGGATAATGACTAAGGGAGACAGAAGAAGAATTGATGCATTTGAATTATGCTGTTGGTGAAGATTATTGAATGTACCATGGACTGCCAACAGAACGACCAAATCTGTCTTGGAAGAAGTACAGCCAGAATGCTCCTTAGAAGCAAGAATGGGGAGACTTCGTCTCACATACTTTGGACATGTTATCAGGAGGGACCAGTCCCTGGAGAAGGACATCACGCTTAGTAAAATAGAAGGTCAGCAAAAGAGGAAGACCCTCAAGGAGATGAATTGACACAGTAGTTGCAACAATGGCATCAAATATAGCAAGGATTGTGAGGATGATTCAGGACTGGGAAGTGTTTCGTTCTGTTGTAGATAGGGTTGCTATGAGTCGGAACTTACTCGACGGCACCTAACAACAACAACACCACCAATGTGTCGGGCACTGTTGCTAGGTGGTGGGGTGATCCCTTGGAGTGCTCTGTCGGTTAGCTTGTGTTACAGAGTGCTAATGAATCATCAAACATGCTAATTGTCTCCGAAAGACAAAAAAACAAAAACAATCTCTTTCATTGATTGGAAGACTAAACTAGTGGGAACTGCCACGTTCTAATTCCTCCCCTGCTACTTTGGCATCACATTCTGAATCAAGTTGGTAACACAGACCTTCAAAGAATCATCATTACTTGGAAAGAGGGACAATAGTCAATTCTCAGGAGGAAGTGTATGGGGGGCAAAAAATGTTAAGAAAATCTGCCGTTTTGACTCTGCTTAAGGTGAGTCAAGCCCTTCAGCCTTTGAGGGAAGCTATCTGAAGCAATCAGAAGACAAATACTGGGATATGGTACCTGGGACTACAATGTAACACACTGAGGCATGGCTCATGAAGACGACATTATTTTCTTTTGCATGTGGCAAAATAGCTTAATGAGAGATAGATTGCACTAATGTCACCTATCAAACTGGTGACTGCATAATTCTGATCAAACACTCTCAAAGACCTTTTGGGAGATAGGGTTTTTACAGAGGATAGCCCTGGGTGGAAGAAACAGTTTGCGTTCAGCTGTTAACTGAAAGGTTACTGTTTCCACCCACCCAGCAGAGCCATGGAAGAAAGCCTGGTAATCTGTTTCTGTAAAGATTATAGCCAAGAAAACCCTATGGAGCTCAGTTCTACTCTGTAACACATGGATTTGCCATGAGTCAGAATAGACTCGGTGGCAATGGGATTGGTTTTCTGGATTTTTGTAGCCACTTCTAAGTGAAAACTAAACGTTGAATACAATTCCATAGGAATTGAGAGTAAGAGACTGCGAAAGCAAGGACTGAGTAAGCCATTGCCCCCTTGTCTGGGAGGAACAGGAACGTGCCCAGGGAAAGTTTAGGAAACTGTAACTGGGCAGCTGCCAAATTTCAACAATACAGTCATCAAAAAGTTAGTGACTTTTCTCCATAACGGGGGCTTTGGGAATTTTAGATAACTCAGTGCGTTGTTCACACTTCAGGCTCTATAAATTTAGGGACTAAAGTAGCCTTCCACCACATTAGGGAATGAACTATTATTATAATATCATGGCGTTATTACAGAAAAATATAACTAGGCATATTACACAGTCACATTTAGTATAACATCCCAGGTGATTACTGTTGATAGCTGTGAACCTCAAATCTAGGCTAGGGAAATGAATGTCTTGTCGTATACATATGTTTACTACCTTAAAGGTGTAGTTAAGATAGACATGGTTGATATCAGTACTTCACACAGCCATTCCACCAATGGCAGACATCTGAACAAATCACAGAATTCTTTCTTACCCAACCAGGCTGTAGCTCTCTCAACCCAGGTTCTGGGAAGCTGACTACCAACTGATTGGACAGGCTAGCAACTAAAAACCATTTTCCCTCTATTTGCTAAGGGATCTCTCACATGTCTGTGAGAGGGCTCCAAGGAAACTAAACTTGTCTTTGAGAATTTGTTTTGCTACTCACAGATCAGCCAAGAATTCCCAACTTACCAAGAACCTTTTAGAAAGTGTTCATTGCTTTTCTTTTTTCAATATCTCGCTTAAGTTGACAGAGGACGCAGTTAGGGAAACATCCTAGACACAGGAAATCGTTGCAAATGGATCCCTGTAAAAAAAACAAACAAACCGATGAACATGCAGCCTGTAAATGTAGTCACAATAATCCCTTGCATTTGCCTAGTTGTTCAAACCTCTTCGAAATATGCATTTTATTTCAATTGTTTATCATGAGAATTCTATGACATTACCCCCATTTTTCTGATGACCTAAGGAAATTAAATGACTTGATAAGATTATGTAACAAATTAGTGCCAGAGGTTGATCTTTCCCTTTCAAAGCCAGTGCCCTGTATTATATTAATATTGCCCCGTATTATAATAGTATTGCACTATTTCAAGTGATCTGCAGGTTACGGTCGTAGCCCCAGTCTTGGCTCATTGTTCTGGAATGGTTCCTTTTGAAGTCAGTTGTTCAGTGCATTAATTTTTCTATAGTTCGTAAGTAGGGCCAGGCCAGGTCCCAACTGTGTCCCTCTGGTCATTTTCATTGACATCTCTCGCATTTGTTTTGCAAGGAAGGGAGCCCAGGTTGAGGGAGGAATATGTAGTTTGGAGGAATGACCCTCTGGAAGGTACCCTAGAGAAGGACTCTGTGTAGGAGGCCCTGGATGACCCAGAGGGTATAGTCTAGCCACCAGGCTCTATGGCTGTATGCCCTTGACTGACTGAAGTTAACTTTGGGCTCCAGTTCTTTGTAGTACTCATTTTAAAAAATGTTGAGTTTAATACAATTCCCAGTTTACAGTGTGTGGTGGGAGAGGAGAAAAGGGGATAGAGAGAGAGAGAGAGAAATCTATAGTAACTTTAGTTTGTAAGAGTGGTTATTGTTAACTGCCCTCAAGCTGATTCTGACTCATGGTGACCCCAGGTGTGCAGAGTAGAACTGCTCCATAGGGGTTTTCAAGGCTGTGAAATTTTGGAAGCAGATTGCCAGGCCTGTCTTCTGAAGTGCCTCTGGGTGGGTTCGAACCACCAACCTTTCGGCTAGTTAGTTGCATGCTTAACCTACATGGTGAGATTATGAATGATTTACTTTTCATTAATTTTTTTTAGTTGCTACAGTGATTTTGTTTCTCTTCTAACAGAGTAAGCATGTGAGAAAAAGTGTGGACAAATAATATTAAAAATCTAAGGTGACCTACCTGAGATGGAGGAATGGATAGACAGCTTGAAGAAAATTTTGTTCTGTCTTAGCCTTCTCTTTTTCCCTGATAAATAATTCAAAATACTGTAACCCTTCCTCATAGTACCTGCTTTTTTCAGTCTTTAACTCATTTTAAAAATCTTATTCTTTAAATCTTCATTAATGTTTATTGAATACCCATAATATTCCACAAGGAAGCAGAACTAAATATTCTTATTCAGTAAGAACCTAATTACTTTTTTGTTCCAGCATGTCTATGCTTGTCTTTTATTTCTTGTCTACTCAGCATCTTATCCTTTGTAATGAACTTACAATTATCTCAAGAAGGTAGTTTTTTGGGGGAAAAATATCCTACTATTATTTGCTGATAAACCTAGAGCATCCTATAGAAAACAACCTATTTTCAATATTTCATAATACAGGCAAGAAAGAATATTCTTATTTCAAACTGGCAGGGAATGGACTACAGATTCACTGCAGGCTGCAGTTAGTAAGGGACACAAATGCCTTGAGTGAAGCAGCTTATCTGGGAAAATAGGTGCCAGAAAGAAAGATGCTGGCATTCATTACTCTGTTTGGTCAGAGGGGACTGGTATTGTGCTTGTTTGTCATCAGGTGCCATTGAGTCGGTTCCAACTCATGGCAATCCCATGTACAGCATAATGAAATGTTGCTCGATTCTGCGCTATTTCGTGATTGTTGGCATGTTTGAGTCCCTTGTTGCAGACGTTGTGTGGGGCCTTCCAACCTAGGGGGCTCATCTTCCAGTACTATACTGGACAAGATTCTGTTGAGATCCATAGGGTTTTCACTGGCTAATTTTCGGAAGTAGATTGCCAGGCCTTTCTTCCTAGTCTGTCTTCATCTGGAAACTCCACTGAAACCTGTACACCATGGGTGACTCTGCTGGTATTTGAAATACTGGTGGCATAGCTTCCAGCATCAAAGCAATATGCAAGCCACCACAATATGACAAACTGACAGACTGGTGGTAAACTGCACTTGTTTGGAAGCTGTTAGAAAGTCTCATTAGAGGCACAAATTCACAGAATCAGTGAACGAATGAATAAGTGAATGAGTTGTTATGGTATACGGCTGAATACACATCTACTCAGGAAGGCAAGATGGTGAACTGGAAAAAACCCGAACTCTGGAGTTAGTCTGAATAAACTTGAAACCAGATTCCAGAATTTACATGTTTTGTGACCCTCAGTCTTTCTGTTCCCTGGCTTCCCTGTCTATAAGGTGGAGATAACAATTTCCACACCACTAGTTCATGAGTAGTAAATGAGCAAAGATATGTTACGAAAATATTCCAGCTCATAGTGGAAGTTCAGTCGGTGGTTGTCTCCTTTCTTCCTCCCAGCCAGGAGAAGCTGTGGCCCTGGCCAAAAGGATGCCCTCTCGGCTGTGTCCATGAAGGGAGAGGGAGATCAAAGAGGCCGGTAGTATAACAGTCTAATAAAAAAAAGTTTCCACAAATGTAAAAGGGAAACAAAGCCGAGAGCCTGAATCGCACAAATCAGTTCTAGGAATTACTAGCCATTTTGGAGGTCTGTTCCAAGGAGACACAACAGGGGTACACGATGTGTAAACAGTGAACCCTGGTGGAACACTTGTTAAGGGCTTGGCTGATAACCGGAAGGTAGACGGTTCAAACCCACCAGCTGCTCTGCGGGAGAAAGTTGTGGCAGTCTGCTTCCGTAAAGATTTACAGCCTTGGAAACCCTATGGGGCAGTTCTACTCTGTCCTGAAAAGTCGCTGTGAGTTGGAATCGACTCAACAGCAATGGATTTTTTTACAATCTGTAAACATACCCATTTTTTTCTTTTCTTATTGTGCTTTAGATGAAGGTTACAAATTAGTTTCTCATTAAACAATTAATACACATATTGTTTTGTGACATTGGTTGCCAAACCCAGGACGTGTCAACAATTCTCCCCTTCTTGACCTTGGGTTCCCCATTTCCATTAGTCCCACTTTCCTGTCCCCGCCTGCCTTCTCTTCCTTTTCCCTGGGCTGGTGTGCCCATTTAGTCTCATATTCATGGTTAAGCTACGGGTATTATTATTCGTTTTATGGGTCTGAAAATCTTTGGCAGTTTCTGTCAGAGAGTAAGTCTGGTCTTTTTTCATGAATTTGTTTTGTTCTACATTTTTCTCCAGCTCTGTCCAGAACCCTCTACTGTGGTCCCTGTCAGATCAGTTTTTGGTGGTAGCCACGCACTATCTGGTTGTGCTGGACTCAGTCTAGTGGAGGCTGTGGTAGTTGTGGTTCATTAGTCCTTTGGATTAATCTTTTCCTTGTGTTTTTTTTTGTTTTCTTCATTCTCCCTTGCTCCAGACAGGGTGCGACCAGTAGAGTATCTTAGATGGCCGCTCACAAGCTTTTAAGACCCCAGACGCTACTCACCAAAGTAGGATGTAGAACGTTTTCTTTATAAACTATGTTATGCCAGCTGAGCTAGACGTTCCCCAAGACCATGGTCCCCACAGCCCTCAGACCAGCAATTCAGTCCCTCAGGGAGCCTGGAAGTGTCTATGGAGCCTCCATGACCCCGCCCTGGACAAGCTGTGCTGGCCTCCCCAGCAGTGTACACTGTCTCACCCTTCACCAAAGTTACCACATATCAATTGTCTAGTTAGTGTTTTTCCATTCCCACCCCTCCCCTCCCTTGTAACCATCAAAGATTGTTTCTTTTTGTGTGTAAACCTTTTCATGAGTTTTTATAGCAGTGGTCTCGTACAATATTTGTCCTTTTGTGATTGACTTATTTCACTTAGCATAATGCCCTCCAGATTCATCCATGTTGTGAGATGTTTGGCAAATTCGTCATTGTTCTTTATCATTGCATAGTATTCCATTATGTGTACGTACCATAGTTTATTTATCCATTCATCTCTTGATGGGCGCTGAGGTTGTTTCCATCGTTTTGCTACTGTGAGTAATGCTGCTACGAACATGGATGTGCATATGTCTATTCGTGTGATAGCTCTTATTTCTCTAGGATATATTCCTAGGAGTGGGATTGCTAGATCATATGGTATTTCTATTTCTAGATTTTTAAGGAAGCACCATATCATTTTCTAAAATGGTTGTACCATTTTGCACTCCCACCAGCAGTGCATAAGAATTCCAATTTCCCTGCAGCCTCTTCAACGTTTGTTATTTTCTGTTATTTTAATTCGTGCCAGTAATGTTGGGGTGAAATGGTATCTCATTGCAGTTTTGATTTGCATTTCTCTAATGGCTAGTGATAGTGAACATTTCCTCATGTGTCTATTAACCACCTGAATGTCTTCTTTGGTGAAGTGTCTGTTCCTATCCTTTGCCCATTTTTAAATTGGATTATTTGTCTTTTTTTCAGAGAGGTGCTGGATTTTCCTATAGACTTTTGAGATTAAACCTTTGTCAGTTATGTCATAGCCAAAGATTTTTTCTCCAGTCTGTAGGTTCTCTTTTTACTCTTTTGGTGAAGTCTTTTGATAAGTGTAAGTGTTTAATTTTTTTAGAAGATCCCAGTTATCTAGCTTATCTTCTGGTATTTGTGTACTGTTAGTTATGGTTTTATCCTATTTGTGCAATGTATTAGGTCCTCTAGTGTTGACCCTAGTTTTTTCTTCCATGATCTTTACAGTTTTTGGTTTTATATTTAGGTCTTTGATCCATTTTGAATAACTTTTTGTGTATGGAGTGAGGTATGGGTCCTGTTTCATTTTTTTACAAATGGACATCCTGTTTTGCCACCACCATTTGTTAAAAAGACTGTCTTATCCCCGTTTAAAGGATTTTGGGCCTTTGTTGAAGTTTAGGTGACCATAGGTGGATGGATTTACATCTGGGTTCTCAATTCTGTTCCATTGGTCAGTGTGTCTGTTGTGGTACCAGTACCAGGCTGTTTT